CAGGGGGTGTTGACTGCACTAGTTATTACTGCAAGCAGGCTAAGGGGGTGTGTCAAAGTTATGTTTAATATATCCTGCTTGCTGTAGTTACTATAGTGTAGTTATTTGATTGTTTGCTTGGTGGTGCTTTTGTTTGCTATATGTACCTTTGGTCCTATAGTGAACCCAACCATTCTCGACATTTCTCCTTGGCACAAACTACTCGTTACCCGCATGGCCCTGCACACCTTTACGCTTGACTCATGTGCTTCCCGCTGTTTCTTTCGCGACAGTACCACAGTCACACCACTTACTGCACCTGTTGCTGTGTCTTTGGCTGACCCCTCTAGGGGCCCAGTCCTTGCACGTTCCTCCACTGTTCTGCCCTGTCTGGCGGTTCCGTCTGGGTCACTGTCAGGTCTCCACCTCCCCTCGCTCACTACGAACTTGGTGAGCACTGCTGTCCTCCAGGATGCGGGGGTTGACACCTTCACCCCTGGACGGAAGCGTGTGGCAATATGTACGTGCTCCCGGACCGGTCGCCACCTGGCCACATTCACCCGTCGGCCTGGGTCGAGTCTGTACACACTGACTACTGCGCCTCCGCAGGTAGCTGCGTCTGCGTCTGCGTCACGTCAGCTTGCTGCCCCCTGCTCGTGAAGCGCCCTGTCGCACCAGACACTCCTTTGGCACCACCGTCTTGGTCACCCCTCTGTGGCACACCTTCGTGGCATGCACTCCCGTCTCCTTGTCTCTAGTCTTCCCAGGTCTCTGCCTCCCCTCCCACCATCGCCTGCCCCTCCCTGCCTTCCCTGTGTCGAGGGGCGGCAGCGCGCCGCTCCTCACTCCTCCTCGTTCCCCCCGACAGAGGCTCCCCTGCAGACTCTCCACCTGGACGTGTGGGGCCCAGCCCGCGTCCGTGGACAGGGCCACGAGTGGTACGTTCTGCTGGTTGTCGATGACTACTCGCGTTACACCACAGTCTTCCTCTTGCGCCGCAAGGGGGGGGTCCCTGATGTTCTGATCCCTTGGATCCGCGCTGTTCGTCTCCAGCTCCGCGAGCGGTTCGAGACGGACCTTCCAATCTTGCGTCTGCACTCTGACAGAGGTGGTGAGCTTTCCTCCGACCTCTTGCGGACCTTTTGTCGTGCGGAGGGCAAACATCGTCAGTGGCATGTGGATTTTCAGGGTGAAGCGGCCGCCGGGTTCTCCGCCTATCTTCAAGGCGCGTTACGTTGCACGAGGCTTCAGTCAGCGATAGGGAGTTCTTCTTCCAGACCTTCTCCCCTACCCCGAAGATGACCACTCTTCGGGTGCTGCTGCACGTCGCCGCTCAGCGTGACTACGAGCTTCACTCTCTTGACTTCAGCACTGCGTTCTTACAGGGCAGCCTGCACGAGGAGATCTGGCTACGCCGCCCACCTGGCTTCACTGGGTCGTTCCCTCCTGGTACCCAGTGGAGCCTCCGGCGGCCAGTCTACGGTCTCCGCCAGGCGCCTCGCGAGTGGCACGACACACTGAGGACCACCCTTGCGGCTCTTGGCTTTGCTCCCTCTACTGCTGACCCGTCGCTGTTTCTACGCACCGACACTTCGCTGCCGCCGTTCTACATCCTCGTGTACGTCAACGACTTGGTTTTTGCCACTGCTAACACTGAGGCACTGACTCTAGTGAAGTCGGAGCTGCAGAAGAGACACACGTGCAACAGACCTAGGTGAGCTGTGCAGCTATCTTGGCTTGCAGATCACCCGGGACAGAGCACGGCACACCATTACCTTTACTCAGTCACACATGGTGCAGCAGGTCCTTCAGTGCTTCGACTTCCAGTACTCCTCGCCACAGTCCACTCCTCTGCCTACCGGCCACTCGCTCTCAACTCTGCCTTCGGATGAGTCCGTAGAGCCGAGTGGCCCGTATCCAGAGCTTGTGGGTTGCCTCATGTACCTGATGACCTGCACTCGACCTGACCTTGCTTACCCTCTTAGCATCTTGGCGCGCTACGTTGCGCCTGGGAGACACCGACCAGAGCACTGGAAGGCCGCTAAGAGGGTGATGCGCTACTTGTGCAGTACGTCGGGCATGGGGCTCGTGCTTGGAGGACGGAGTCGAGTTGTCCTCACTGGTCACGCAGGCGCTTCTTGGGTTGACGACTTGGCTACTCAGCGGTCGTCACAGGGTTACACCTTCAGCCTTGGTTCCGGCTCTGTTTCGTGGCGGTCTACCCGCTCGTCTTCTGTTCTCAGCTCCAGCTGTGAGGCTGAGATCTACGCAGGGGCCATGGCTGCACAGGAGTTACGCTGGCTCACCTACCTTCTGACTAGCCTGGGAGAGCCGCCTCGTTCTCCTCCAGTTTTGAACGTCGACAACAAGGGCATGATTGCCTTGTGTCAGGAGCATAGACTGGAGCACAGGACGAAGCACATCACTCTGCGTTACTTCCTTGCTCGAGAGTTGCAACAGCGTGGTCAGCTTCGTCTTGCTTACGTGGCCTCTCGGGCCAACACTGCTGATATCTTCACCAAGGCACTTCAGCCTTGTGATCATCAGCGTTTCTGTACTGTTCTACGTCTTGTGCCTACCTGGCCTCACTTGCTCTCTTCTTGACTTTGCTTGTACTGTGATCTATATACTTGTACCTGCTTGCTTACACTTGCTAGGTTGTGATCACTGTATCGTTTGTTCTCCTTTCTATATAACTCTGCATGTGAACTGGCCTTGTGGCCATTTGCTTGTGCTCAGAATGTGTGGTGACTTCTTGATCCACCCTGAGCTTGCTTAGCCTTTCTTGACTGGTCTTGTGACCTCTTGTTCTCCCCCACTTTGCCTATGGGGGTGTGTCAAACTATATGTGCTGCTTATTGTGTAGGCTGTAGTGGGGTAGGCTATATAGGGTACAACACAACTTAGGGTTTCCTACTTGTACCCATCCTGCTGCTAGTTCATTCATTCCTGTTCATTATTCTGACAGAAAATTTACTCGTTTTCGTCGAGTCGAGCAATATTCGCGAGTAATCGAGTACTCGCGATTTACTCGTTTTTAGGAAGCGAGTAACGGGTAATAGAATAACTCACGAGTGAGAAAACAAGTCCAAAGTAATGTAAATGATGAGCAGACAAACATTTGATACCATACTAGCAAACAGGCGTTCTCGATTCATGACACACAACATTTTGCCTCGTCATTTAAGCACTCCCACCAACATCAGTTCTAAATTCTCAATCATGCCATAACCTAGGCATAACAAGGCAAGTAGAAACCATGAGATTGCATGAACTCATTTTGGTTCGAGCAAGAGCATTCTATGGCTCATGTTTCCATTCACATGCATACACAAATGTGTGTACATACACATCCATAAACACACGTGCATATACACACGCGCAATCGTATGCATCCATGAGAATACATCCGTGCACACATACTCTCTTCTGACCCCACACCAGGTGGCAATATCAGACTCTAGTGGAAAGATGCATACGGTGTTGAGGGTTGAATTAAGATTCCTAAAATGACTTGAGGAGGAGAAGAGACGAAAAGCATGCACAGACACGCGCACACCTTCACAGCTTGTCTCGCTCACACTCTTATACACATCACACATCCACCTTGTGTTGCACAAACGCGCCGTGTCATCGTACAGGTGAAGGTAGCTGCTTCAGGCTGCTGAGAATCACACACAGACATACAGACACACCCTGCCAGGCTGTTTCTCTCACATTCTGACACACATTCTATATCCACCTCGTGTCGCACAAACGAGTCTTGCATTTTGCAGCGTTTGTTTTTTGAGAATTCTCAAAAAACAGGTGAAGATAGCCGACTTCGGGCTGCTGAGTAGAAGAAAAGCGCGCACACAGACACGTAGATACACCCTCATAGGATGCATCCCTCACACTCATACACACATCCCACATCCACCTTTTGTCGCATGAATGTTCCCCGTCATCCTGCAGGTGAAGATAGCCGACTTCAGGCTGCTGAGAAGCACGCACGAACACACAGACACGCCCTCACAGCCTGTTTAGCTCACACTCCGACACACATCCCATATTGACCGTGTGCCGCACAACCCTACCTTCTCATCCTGCAGGTGAAGATAGCTGACTTTGGGCTGCTGAGGCTGCTGGACGATGGGGCGGTCAGGGAGGGCGCGTACACGCGTGTGGCGGGCACGAGGGGGTATCTGGACCCCGAGTACATGACGTGTGAGAAGGTGTCTACAGCAAGCGATGTGTACAGGTGGGTGCGAGTCTACAGGTGAGTGTGAGTGGGGTGTTTACAAGTGTGTGAGGTGCGAGGAGTGGCGGACATGAGGGGCTATCTGGACCCCGAGTACATGACGTGCGAGAAGGTGTCTACAGCAAGCGATGTGTACAGGTGTGTGTGTACAGCAGTGGGGGGAGGGGAGGGGGGGGTGAAGGGTGGCGGTAACTGGACCCCGAGTACATGACATGCGAAAAGGTCCCCACAGCAAGCGGTGTGTACAGGTGTGTACAGAGCAGACACGAGGGGGGGTATCATGTGTCTGGACTCGGTACATGACGTATGAAAAGGTGTCCACAGCAAGCAATGTGATCAAGTGAGTGGGAGAGGGTGTGTGGTGTGTGCAGGTATGTGTGTGAGGTGTGAACAAGTGTGCGTGAGGGCAGTGTGTGTGGGTGTGTGAGTGCTTGCTCGCATGATCATGCCAACTGAAGGCCGTGTGTGTGAATGGGCTTGCACCCCGGTTGCAAGCACAAACGGAGTGATTCCAACTTTATTTTCTGCATTAACACTCCTTCTGTTCACCCTCTCATTCCCATGGCCCAGCACTTCCCAACTGTTTGTCCCCTCATTGTGTGCCTCTCACTCCGTCGGTGCATGCCTCTCATTTCCGTGTTACATGTCCCTCCCATCCATACCTGCTCCTTCTCATCCCATGTGAACCACCCACCACAGTCGAGGACCCATATTACCTCTCCATATCTGTCACATATTTCCATGTCTCTCCACATCTTTCCATGTCTCTCCGCATCTTTCCATGTCTCTCCACATCTCGCCACATCTCTCCACATCTGTGCCCACCAGCTACGGTGTGCTGCTACTCGAGATGGTGACTGGGCGGTCGGCCACGGCCAAGGATCCGGAGGACGAGTCTTGCCTCATCCTCATCACCACTTGGGTGAGCTGTCATGTCCACGTCAGCACCTGGGTTAGCTGTCATGTCCTCGTTAGCACCTGGTTGAGCAGCCATGTCCACGTCAGCACCTGGGTGAGCTGAGCTCCCAAATGCTTCAGGGCACCGAATGACCTTCCATCCTGCACTGAATGCTATGCTTGTGCGCCTATTAAGCGATGTCGCCGTGCTTGGCTTGTCACGAGTCACAGTGGCAACCCTCTCATCTTCCATCACAGCTCTTCCCCTCTCTCCACCATGCTTTCACGATGTGTCATCTCGCCTCAATGTAATCTAACCATACTAAGCCATCCCTGCCTCTCTCTGCTTCTCCTTCCTCTTCCACTCATCTTATGCTAAGTACCAAACACACGATTAAGTAACGCACTTACACTTTGTACCAAACATGAGATTAAGTAACGCACATAGTTTTAGCACAAAAGTAAAAGCGATATGCTTATAAGGGGAGGGGAGGAAGAGATTGTTGAATAACTTGTGTATCTTTATTCTTACATTCTATTCTCAAGCTCCTGAGAGCAGATTGTTTTCCTTCCTTTCACTCCTCTTTTCCACCCCGCTCCTTTTCCGCCACCCCCTTCCCCCCCTCTCTCTCCTTCCCTTCCACCAGCGGGTGCCATACATTAATCGAGTGTCGCCTCGCCTCACCTATATGTCACCTATTGTGCCACCCTCCCTAACACCTACCCCCTCCCCTCCCCCCCCACAACCAGGCGGTGCCACACATTGAGCGCGGGGAGGTGCGAGTGATAGCCGACACGTGCATCACCTCGACTCGCCTCGCCTCTCTGTGACCTCACCTGTTGTGCCATCCTCCTACTCCTCCCCCTCCCACCCCCTCCCGCCCCCTCTCCCCACCAGGCGGTGCCATACATTGAGCGCGGGGAGGTGCGGGTGATAGCAGAAGCTCGCATCCTCTTCTAGCCTCTCACAAATTTGTGCCACCCTTTCCCCCCCCCCTTCTCCCCCCTCACGAGGCGGTGCCATACATAGAGCGCGGGGAGGTGCGGGTGATAGCGGACGCGCGCATCGCCTCGCCGCTCAACCTGCCCTTTCTGCTGCAGATGGCGCGCACCGCCGCCCTCTGCGTGCAGCTGCCGTCCACGCGCCGCCCGGACATGGCTGAGGTGGCGCGCGTTATGCTGGACGCTCGCAGAGGCTTTCATGCCGCTGCTTCTGCCGCTGCTGCCGGCGCTGCTGCACTCGCCGCCGCTGGTGGTGCTGCTGCTGGTGCTGCTGGTGGGCCGGGTGTGTAGAGAGGAAGACAAGGAGGGGTGGGGGGAGCAGGAGGAGGAGGAGGAGGAGCAGGGGTGATAGGGGGGGCTGCTACACTGGCAGCGCATGTATCGAGAGGAATTACGGCTGGGGCAACGGCGTTGGGGGGGAAGGGGGACGCGCAGGGAGGGGAGGTGGGGAGGAGTGGGAGTGGCAGGAGCGGTAGTGGGCATTTGGGAGGCAGCCTTAGGGTTATGCAGAGTGAGAGTATGAGGAGGTGGGTGCAGTACTTTGCAGGGGGTGGCGGTGCGAGTTGGAGAGACACTGAGAGCTTTGAGGAGATCATGCCTACCAGTACACTACAAAGCTCAGGGAGAGACTGGAATAGTGAAGCTGACTCGGAAGTGTATGTGCGATAGTAATACTCTGAATGGATCAGTGTTCAAAACAAGTAATTCCGAAATTTCAGTCTCCCCAAAGTGAATAGTATGAAATCACCCTAAATTCAGGGTAATTACCCTGATAAAAATTGTCCTACTCCTACCTTCGCTCACATTCATTTGTTTCACCATTTAGTGCAATCCTCGCTCCCTTCTTCAATTGCACTCGTAACAATTGATGCTCAGAGCCCCAAATGATTGCAATAATGAAAAAAAACAAACGCATGAGCGCCAGGATGAAATAATGCAGTAGCTCCAAGAGAGAGAAGAGAGTGCACACGAAATGGCCACTCTCACGGCGAAACGAGACTCCCTCTAAAGCGCATCAAATCCTACACCAACACAAGCACAGCAAGTAGCACCAGCAGCAACAACACCGTCCCAACACGAGAGTGTGGGACAGTGCTCGACCGCCACCACTGATAGCGCTACGCGTGAAGTCGCTCGCGGCATGTGCAGAATCATCAAACTATATTCATATGTGTGTTGGGTTTGTTAGGCTACAGCGATGTGCATCATATAGGGTGCAACACTTTCGAGGGTTTGTCATATTTACCCATCTTTTGCTAGTCATGTCAAACTTATATGCTATAGTCTGTGTAGGCTGTAGTGGGGTAGACTATATGGGGTACAACATTTCTAGGTTTTCCTACTTGTACCCACCTCTTTCCTAGTTCATTCATTCCTTATTCTTCACATGGTATAGAGCAGGTTCCCTCGTGGGAACGCTTCTCAGGGCCCACCACCTAACTCGACTTTTTTTTCCTGCCCGAGGCGCGCCCCGTAGGCCGCCCTCACGTCGCGCCCTCCTAGAGGCCCCTCGCGCCACCCTTAGCGGCCCCGTCGCCGTCCTTTCCGGCCCCGTCGCCGCCCCTCTAGGCCCCTCAAGGCCCCTTCGCGGCCCCGTCGCCGCCCCTCTTGGCCCCGTCGCCGCCCCTCTAGGCCCCTCGCGGCCCCTTCGCGGCCCCGTCGCCGCCGCTCTAGGCCTCGTCGCCGCCTCTCTAGGCCCCTCGTGGCCCCTTCGCGGCCCCGTTGCCGCCCCTAGCGGCCCCGTCGCCGCCTCCTCTAGGCCCCTTGCGGCCCCTTCGTGGCCCCGTCGCCGCCCCTCTAGGCCCCTTACGGCCCCTTCGCGGCCTCGTCGCCGCCCCTCTAGGCCCCGTCGCCGCCTCCTCTAGGCCCCTTGCGGCCCCTCTGCGGCCCCGTCGCTGCCCCTAGCGGCCCCGTCGCCGCCCCTGGAGGCCCCGTCGCCGCCCTTCGCGGCCACCTCGCCGCCCCTCGCGGCCCCGTTGCCGCCCCTAGCGGCCCCGTCGCCGCTCTTCGCGGCCCCGTCGCCGCCCTTCGCGGCCCCGTCGCCGCCTCTTCGCGGCCCCATCGCCGCCTCTACCGGCCCCGTCGCCGCCTCTACCGGCCCCGTCGCCGCCTCTACCGGCCCCGTCGCCGCCTCTACCGGCCCCGTCGTCGCCTCTACCGGCCCCTTCACCGCTGAGCCGCCCAGCAGCTGAGCAGCCGAGCCACCAAGCCGCCGAGCCGCCAAGCCGCCCAGCAGCCGAGCCGCCCAGCAGCCGAGCCGCCCAGCAGCCGAGCTGCCCAACAACCGAGCCGCCGAGCCGCCCAGCAGCCGAGCCGCCGAGCCGCCGAGCCGCCGAGCCGCCCAGCAACCGAGCCGCCGAGCCACCCAGCAGCCGAGCCGCCGAGCCGCCCTGCCGTCGAGCCGCTACTGTTCCTACCGGCGCGCCCCGGCCCTACTTACTCGGACTGGTGAGATCACTCCCTGCTAGGCCACTGCAGTCATGGCTACCCCCAGTGTCCTTACCTTTGATGCTGAGGGTCGTGCTGTTGACTTTGAGGTCTGGGTCGATGACCTCCAGCTCTTCCTACAGTGCAATAGGGCAGACGGACTCTCTCTGTTCGATCTCACCTCTGGTGCCTCTCCTGCCCCGCCGGCTACTGCTGACAGCACTGTTCGCTCACAGTGGGCCACTCGCGATGCTGCTGCCCGTCTTGCTGTGCGTCGCCACCTACCGACCACTGAGCGTGCACACTTTAGTCAGTACAAGAGTGCTAAGACCTTGTACGACGCTGTAGTTGCACGCTACTCTTCCCCTGCCACTGCTGCTCTTAGCTGCCTCATGCTGCCGTACCTGTTCCCTGACCTTGCTGCCTTTCCCACAGTAGCTGACCTCATTAAGCACCTTCGCACTAGTGACACTCGCTACCGCGCTGCGCTTCCTGCTGAGTTCTGTGCCAAGAACCCCCCCCCCATGTACATCACCCTCTACTACATAGTCACCCGGCTCCCTGACTCCCTTCGCTTAGTCAGGGACCACTTCCTCTCAGTTTGCCCCACCACACTCACCGTTGACCTCCTCGAGGAGCGCCTCCTAGCAGCAGAGAAGAGCATAGTCACTGTAGGAGCCTCTCGTGGTGACCCTCGCACCCCCGTCTTTGAGGGGTGTTCCCCCTCCCCCCTCTTGCCCTCTGTTGCTTCTGCTGCTGCGGCCAACCTCGTTGGTTTCGAGTCGGTCGGCGCTGCGTCTGCCCCTAGCGGGAGACGCCGCACCGGCAAGGGCAAGGGGGGCAAGGGCGCTGGAGGGGCTGGAGGGGGCGGTGGAGGTGGTGGTGGAGGCAGTGGAGGGGGTGGGGGTGGTGGTGGGAGTGGTGGCGGGGGTGGAGGTGTCGGTGGCAGCAGTGGAGGCGGAGGAGGCGGCGGCGGTGGCGGAGGGAGCGGAGGCGGCGGAGGTGGCGGAAGCGGCGGAGGTGGCGGAGGCGGCGGCGGCAGCGGTGGAGCTGGTCGCGGCTCTGCGCAGAGGAGTGGGTCCGGTGGTGGTCCGCGCCAGCAGCAGCAGCGCAGTCGTTAGACCCTGTCCCCCCAGCAGCTTCGTGAGTGGTACGCTGGGCGTCAGCGAGGTGGGGGTACTGGTCCCTGCACCTACGTCCTCCGTACCGGCGACCGCGCTGGTGAGCAGTGCGGGGGCCCGCACTCCACCCAGCGCTGCTTCGGCCGCCTGACGGACGCGTGGCGTCATCAGTTCCCTGACGCCACTAAGATCCCTCGTTAGGGAGAGCTGTCTAGGGCGGGGGTTGCTATCTTTGATCTTGATTATGATGCTATTCTTGCTGCCATGTATGCTGTGTCTAATAGTGATGAGGGTGACTGTTACCTGTGTGTTCCGCCTGACCCGGGCATTGAGGCTGCTGCTCTAGGTGCTGGTGAGGCTGCTGCTCTAGGTGCTAGTGCGTCTGCTGCCCCAGGTGCTGGTGAGTCTGCCCTCTCAGGTACAACGTCGGCTCAGGCCTTACACACCTTCACCCTTGACTCGGGTGCTTCCCGCTCCTTCTTTCGAGACCGCACCACGCTTACGCCGCTTAGTCGGCCGGTTGCAGTCTCCCTGGCGGACCCCTCTGGGGGTCCTGTCCTTGCTAGCTTCTCCACTGTCTTACCGTGTCCGGCAGCCCCCTCTGGCACCCTGTCAGGTCTCTACCTCCCCTCGTTCTCTACGAACTTGGTGAGTGGAGCTGATCTACAAGATAGGGGGGTTGACCAGTTCACTCCTGCGAGTCAGCGGGTGACCCACTGCACGTGTGCTCGGACGGGCCGACACTTGGCCACGTTTACCCGTCGGCCGGGGTCGAGCCTGTACACACTGACTGCTGAGTCTCCTCCGGTTGCTGAGTCTGGTCAGGTAGCTGCGTCGAGTCAGGTGTTTGCTGCAGCGTCCAGGTCTGGTCCTGAGTCTGCTCCCTGCTCGTGTCGTCTCCTGTCCCAACAGACTCTCCTTTGGCACCACCGCCTTGGTCACCCCTCCCTGCCTCGTCTCCGAGGCATGGCCTCCCGTGTCCTTGTCTCTGGTCTCCCCCGGTCCCTCCCTCCCCTACCTCCGGGGCCTGCCCCTACCTGCGTTCCCTGCGTCGAGGGGCGGCAGCGCGCCGCCCCTCACTCCTCCGAGTTTCCTCCGACAGAGGCTCCGCTGCAGACTCTTCACATGGACGTGTGGGGCCCCGCCCGCGTCCGTGGCCAGGGTCACGAGCGTTACTTCCTGTTGGTGGTTGACGACTACACCACGGCCAAGGGTGACGTCTCTGAGGTGTTGATCGACTGGATCCGCGCAGCTCGTCTCCAGCTCAGAGAGAGTTTTGGCTCGGACTTTCCTGTTCTGCGTCTGCACTCTGACAGAGGCGGGGAGTTTTCCTCTGCCCGTATGGGAGCCTTCTGTCGTGCACAGGGCATCCGCCAGACCTTCACGCTTCCGGCCTCTCCACAGCAAAATGGGATTGCTGAGCGCCGCATTGGCATGGTCATGGACGTCGCTCGTACGTCCATGATCCATGCGGCTGCCCCCCATTTTCTGTGGCCGTTTGCGGTTCAGTACGCAGCGCATCAGCTCAACCTTCAGCCCCGGGTCTCCTTGCCAGAGACCTCCCCCACCTTGCGGTGGACGGGGAAGGTTGGCGATGCGTCTGCGTTTCGTGTCTGGGGATCTCGGGCGTTTGTCCGCGACTTGTCTGCGGACAAGCTGTCCCCCCGTGCTGTTCCCTGCGTCTTCCTTGGCTTCCCCCCTGACGCGCCTGGTTGGCAGTTTTACCACCCCACCTCGCGTCGT